TTACTAACATCAATGATTACTTAATTACTACATTCCTTATGCGCATGCACTAATTACTATACTGTCGCTTCACTTTGCACAGCAGATTGTTTACTAATTGCATATTTCCTGCATCTATACTAATTACTATCTAACTGCATATCAAAGATGTAATGGTTGCATAGAGCACATGATTAGATTTGGTTGTGTAACATATTCCTCCGCTTGAAGGATGAGCTCCAGCGAATCCGTATGTCAGCAAAAGTAAAGAGACAAAAATTTTTTTTTTTTTCCACGTGCTTCTTGGATGTCCGGGAGTCATGTGATGAAAAATTTTGCAGTCAACGCAGTTCAAAGAATTCAAGTTCAAATTGTTTAATGGAAGTTTTTTTTTTTTTTTTTTTTTCCATTTTATTTACTCGTTCATTCATTTCTTTAGTTGTTATATTAGTGTCTTCTTTCGAATTTCTCCTCCAGGGTCGAATGCGAATTTGGTCCAGTCCGAAAAAATTAAAGCACATCGGTCGATCTTTTTGGTAAGTCGGGGTATACGTATGAAATGGAAAATTTTTTCTACAGCCCAAGCAAGGTAAATATATCTAAATCCACCCAAGAAGTAATTTCTATTAACAAGCTTGTTTAATCGCCTTCCACTTTCGTCAACTTAATTGTAACTTTTTTCAGCTTTCGCATTCCATTCAAACGTCTTTTTCCCATTGCTTTTTAATCTCCCATCATTTTGACAACACCATTCCGGATTACATCGTTCATTCAAGTTGACATTGCCAAAGTGGTTCGTGTACAATTCATAACTCTTGACCTTATTCGGTCTCAATTTTACTAATCTATTTAAATCCTTAAGTAGTTCTTCACGCGCATTCGTATTAAACGACTTATATCTATCTTCCGCAGTTTTAACATCGGGCATTTTATTCTCACATTCGAACTTCGGAGCTAGCTTGTTGCTCAATTGTGGTAAGTCTTTTTCTTCCTTGTTCGTTTGGATTATTTTATCATTGTTCTTACTAACTCCTACATTTATCTCTTCAAATTTTTCAACTTCGATTACATTTTCAACGCTTGTATCTGTACAAACCATATCGTTTTGACCATTACTCTCAACACATTTATTCACGTCTTCTTCAATTCGTCTTGACATACTTTCCAACTCCCTTTCCAATTCTTGATCACCATCTTCGAACTTATTTTCCAACCATTTTTCACTTTCAGCGCATTTCACATTTTCTCTAAATACTTTACGATCGTCCTTCATCATTCCCATTCCATCGCGATAACATTTAACATCGTTTACCTGGCTAATGTTTTCTTCAGGCCTTTCATCGTCGATTGTATTTTGTGCGCAATCCTCTAAAACCGAATATTCGTCCAATTTTTGGTTTTCGACCGACTTCATATCGTCGTTCTTAACCTCAATCATATTATTATGGCAAGATTTCATTCGCCAACGTCCTTTTGCTTTGCCGATTTTCTTGGATTGCCAATATCGTCCAAACGACTTATACCGATTTTTGCTGAACTCTTGATGATCGTCATATGCATTCTGCCTAATTTTCTTCACATTTCAAGTGCAACGATCATCCTCATAATTTCCAAAATCATCAATCATTTCCATGGCTTCATTGTAACGTTCAAATGTCTTTCTTTTCTTCACTTTCATAGAGAAAGACTCGCCATGCCGATAGGTTCGGCTTAACAATCCTTTTCGTGGTTTGTGATATTTCACACTAACCTCTATTTTGATTTCCATTCCATTTTGGTAACTATAACCGGATACAGCATTGGAATAATAAGATGATACAAGATCAAAGCTTCGTACATCAGTTCCGGCATACCTTTTATACACCTGCCCTAATGAATCGATGGAAAATGGAATTATTAGCCAGACAACAACAAATTGGCGAGACGTTAGAACAGTATGCAATTAACATGATGGCCTTGTTTAAACGTGTAGCAATTGCAGGGAACCTGTATCCAGAAATAACAAAGATTCGAATGTTTGTAAAAGGACTTCATCCTGAATTAGCATCGGCAATTAGACCCTTCATGTTTAATTCGCTATACGAAGCCATTGATCAAGCCCGAAGGTATGAAACAACGCTTGCACAAGGATCGGCTTTGACTTATCAAGCAATAGCAAATACGGTGGCCCCT